TATAAAAAAATTTAATATTAATCGTTTTACATTTATTTTTTTAATTAATTATATTAATTTTTTTATACATCCATTTTATAAATTATTTATATTAATTTTATATACATTCATTTTATAAATCATCTATATTAAATTTTACATTAATTTTATATATTATCTCTATTAAATTTTTTTCATTCATTTTATAAATTATCTATATTAAATTCTTTAAATTTAATGAAATATAGGGATAATTACTCTGTGTTAAAAAAATATTAGAAAGTTGATGAGATAATTTTTGGAAAATGAGGTAAAAATAAGTCAAGCTGCTCTTTCAATATTCTTTAGATCAGTAATCCTTCTGCTAATTTAGTTCCCCTTCAACTTGAGGTAATTGTCCTACAAATTATGCTTTGATTGAATGAAAATAAAGCAGTTGACAATCTAATAAATATTGATAGAGGGCAGAGAGATAAGAATGTTTATGAAAACAAAAAGTGTTTAAAATAATTGTAAAAAAAGAATGTTAAGAGAGGATTTTACACTTGATAGCTTGTATATTATTAAATATATAAATATATATACTCATATATTTAGTCTTGATTTGTTATTTAATCGTCAAATAAATAGAAACTTAGATATCCACTTATTATCTTAGTAAAGTTAATGCTTCAAAATAGTAATGTGCATTTACGATAGGCTAAAATGCTTGTAGATATTCTGATTGCTTTGATATATCTTCTCCTACATTATAAATTTGATGTGATTTAGGAGCTCCTAGGAAGACATGTACATATATTTAAGGAACATTCTACAATACAACGGATGGGTGTGATAAAGTTCCAGATAATAAAGCATATTTTGATTTATTAACATCCAATAGCATTAATTGTTCCTATATTGCAGGGGAATTTTGTACTCCAAATTATCATTGATGATGATGTTACAAATGTTAATGATAAAAAAGTTACATGCAATTCTTTAGTAAATAAAACTGATGGAAAATGAATTTATGTTTGGGTAATATAAATGCTTTACACTTGGGACTTGCCATTCATATGATGGTTCAGCAACTGCAAAATTAGGACAAGAAAATGGTAAAGAGATAACTCAATGCCCAATATTCAAAGCAATAACAACTCATCATCCATGTAATAAACATGCCTCAGATCTCAGAAAATGCGAAACTTAAGTGGTGATAATGATGGCAGTGAATATGGTTGCAAGAATAATGTCAGTAATTGTATATTCTATCAAAATAAATGTCTCTCAAAAACTTCACTTGCATTATATACTTTCTAAGATAATGTGGGTATTGAGAATGAAAAACTATTTTGGTGTGAAAAAGTTATTGATTCAAATGACAACAAATGCAAATATGATGGTATTAAATGCGCTAATAGACTTTGTAGTGATTCAGCAACTGCCAGTTTTTATACAGATTTTGATTACAAAAGTTATTTGAAAACTTGTAAGACTGATGATTATGGATGTGTTGATACCAGCAGTAGTTGCAACACTGTTTCAGGAAATTAGGCCTTCCGCGAATAAATGCTTGATAATTCAGGGAATGATTATTATAAGTCGAATACTGCAGTTGTTACTTATGGCAATTGTTAAGTAAGAACCTTTTATGATAATGTATTTGCTAAATCTGATAGATATTGTAATATTTGGATGAAAGATTGCGTAACCAGAGAAAACGTTGTATACCGAAAGATAGACCTTGTTCTGAATATAGAGGTACAAAAACTTAATGTGAAGCATTCAAATAGTATTCACATTATGAAAATGCCAACAAAGTTGATGTATATTTATTATGTTCTGGAATGCCATCCAATAAGGAGAATAGTAACTGTAAAGATAGAGAGTGCACAGACAATACAGTTGCAACTACAAATGATGAATGCTAATCTTATTTGGATGGATGTGTAACAAAAGGAATAGGATGTGTTTAGAAATTTTTCAATTGCTCAGCTTACTGAGGAACTAGAGATACTTGTAGTAACTTTATGGAATCAAGTGGCTATGATTATTGTTACAATGTAGAAAATGCAACAGAAACATCAAACTGCTAAAAGTAGGATTGTAGCAATATTTAAGGAACTAACAACAAAGACTGTAACGATGAAATGAAACCATTTAATACACCCTTCTGTATTTTAATAAAACTGTTTGTGATACAAATGGTAAGAGATGCGAGATGTTCAAAGGAACAGAAGTCACTTGCCCAACTTATATAGCATTAAATGGTCCATACAAAGCTACTACTTATGGAGCTATTGTAGGAAGGGGTGCCAAAAGAGTTTTATAGAAGCTTCAAATAATTTGAAAACTGATCAAGAGTGGCCAGATTATCATCCAGATTGTGTCACTACTGATATGCTGTTCATTTGCTGTTAATTGCAATTCTATGATCAATTAAGATTCTTGTTAATTAAGATCAGAATGCACATGGGGGAATTAATACACCCACTAAGGCATCATGTTCTGAATAGAGTGAAACAAGTCGATCAACTTATGTTAACACAGTTATTACAATGGAAATTAATAATGTTAAAACTAAAAAGTATTATGCTTGGACAGAGATAGGTAATTAATGCAGAGATCAGAAATGTGAGGATCAATCTGCAACTATTAACTCTCATAAATAATGTAATGATTTTGATAAGTCATGTACAAGCGCTGAAATTTGTTTCTGGAAAGGATCTCATTGCAAATTGAAGGAATGTTCAGATCTTATTGGAACCACATATGATCGATGCAGATCATAAGTTATTACTGGAAGTTCTTGTACTACAGATGGAATTAACTGTACTCCTCTAGAACTTTACAAGGTTATACAGAAGCTGGATGTTATTTAGGAACAGATGGAACTTGTATCTTATCTTTTCCTATTGGTTAAAATACTGGAAATAAACGTTATAGATTCAAGTTATGTGAAGTCATTGATAAAGGAGTTAATATTTTTGTTTGCGGTGGAGTCATACTTGGAAAAGTATGTGTTTCTAATACTAAAAATTGTATTCTAAAGCAGCTTGTTCAATATACAAAATTTTAGAAGCATACAATGGAGAAGGATTAGAAGGAATAAATCAAGTTTAATATACATTTTTGCCTAATTCTGCCACCGATTTATTCAGTGGAACTTGCAAAGAATGCATATAATGTAAAGATGCAAATTAAGATAGACTTGGTTTTGGGTGGCAAGACTTTTAGTATTTTGCTAAAAAATGTAATTATTAGGCAATAATAAAAATCGGTGATAACATTGAAAAGTACAAGTCTCTCTATCAAATTGGGAGATAAGAAAGTACCTATTATTTTAAAAAATAAACTTCTTATTAGATCAAAAATTAACCAGGAGAGCTCGTAGATTTATTCAGTCGTCTGTTTACATATTTAGAAGGTTTATATCAGATGTAAATATTAACTTGCAGGTCATGAATTGATAAGATAAAAGCTTGAATGAATGAATATGATTCATAGAAGAAATATGTCTTTGTAAAATGTACTTTTTTAAGATTTGTATAAATTTTCCCTATATGTTAGATAAAATCATATTGTGGTCATAATTCCATGAAGATTTAAGGTGAAAATAGGTAAAATCGTGCTGTAATCATCAGTATTGTTTAAATTGGTTGTATAATTGTTTGTGGTATTTTGTTGAGTAGCTCCTGCTCTACATTATTCACATTTATTGGTATTTTAATTCCAGGTATAAGATTAGAGTAACAAATCTATGAATCAGTTATTGTACGCAGTACATAGACCATTTTGAAGAATGCAAACAGTGAAAGCTTTGCCATCAAAGCTAGGAACTGGTTGGAAATCAGTACCAATTGCATACGTATCTCTTTTAAAGGTTTTAGTTAAAACCACTATGAGATCCTTTAGTGCTAAGTATATAAGAAAGAAGGGATGGTTAATTAATTTTTTAAGGGTGATTTGCCAGATATAGAGTTCTACTATGAAGGGATAGAGGTCAATGGAAATTAAAAATTTGGAGCTGAAGTTTCAGAATTTTGTTTGCAAATAATGGAGGGCTCTGATAAAGTATTAGAATAATATTAAAATAATATGAATAATTCAATAATAAAAGATTAAATATTCAATATGATGAAGAATTTAAGAAGGCAGTTGAGATTAAGAAAAAGGTTTAACAGGCATAGGATAAATTAATAAGATGACTTTAAAACAAGGTTTAAATAATTGACCACATAAATGAAACTATTTTATAAGAGCAGGATTATATAAATTAAAAAGGTAAGATGAATCATTGTTGTAAAGAAAAGTTTAAAAATTGATAAGCTGAATCTCGTTAGAAGAATATGTAGAGAAAGCTAAAAGAATTAAAAATAAAAAAAAACAGAGCTAAGTCAAAAATTAGAGAAGAATTATTTTTATGTCTATAGAATAATAAGTGGTTAGGATTTGAGAGAAATAAAAAATAGATGTGAAATAGTTTATAAAAGATGAAACTAAATCTGTTAATCTTATAGATAACTAAAAATTAAGTAAAGCTTAGAGCTGGTTTCAATTATATCTTGAATTTAAAATAGAATACAAATGCATAACTACTTAAGGTAATGGAAGTAAGAAAAAATAATAAACAATAAAATAACAACTATTAATCCTTGTTTTATTTCATTGAAGTTTTAATAATATCTAAGCATTGCTGAACAACTTATTAATCAAGTTTTTGAAAGAAATTATTTTGATCAAAATTATACCAAAAACTTATTTAATTTAGATACCCTTTTGTTATTTGTTAAAGTTTATGAAAGTTCTTTTTTTATGATTTTATTTGATTTTTTATATCTATCAATATTGTCTGCTCCTTAAATTAAAATAGTAATTGCTTATATTGAACCTTTTTTTGAATAGATGCTATTATTATCATTCATTTTTATAATTTAAATAAGTTCTTTAGGAAGATAATTACGACAATATATTGAATTAAATTAAGTGATTTATTGTTTCAGTACTGATCGAACCTATTTAAAATAATCATAAAGGTAAANAATTAACCAGGAGAGCTCGTAGATTTATTCAGTCGTCTGTTTACATATTTAGAAGGTTTATATCAGATGTAAATATTAACTTGCAGGTCATGAATTGATATGATAAAAGCTTGAATGAATGAATATGATTCATAGAAGAAATATGTCTTTGTAAAATGTACTTTTTTAAGATTTGTATAAATTTTCCCTATATGTTAGATAAAATCATATTGTGGTCATAATTCCATGAAGATTTAAGGTGAAAATAGGTAAAATCGTGCTGTAATCATCAGTATTGTTTAAATTGGTTGTATAATTGTTTGTGGTATTTTGTTGAGTAGCTCCTGCTCTACATTATTCACATTTATTGGTATTTTAATTCCAGGTATAAGATTAGAGTAACAAATCTATGAATCAGTTATTGTACGCAGTACATAGACCATTTTGAAGAATGCAAACAGTGAAAGCTTTGCCATCAAAGCTAGGAACTGGTTGGAAATCAGTACCAATTGCATACGTATCTCTTTTAAAGGTTTTAGTTAAAACCACTATGAGATCCTTTAGTGCTAAGTATATAAGAAAGAAGGGATGGTTAATTAATTTTTTAAGGGTGATTTGCCAGATATAGAGTTCTACTATGAAGGGATAGAGGTCAATGGAAATTAAAAATTTGGAGCTGAAGTTTCAGAATTTTGTTTGCAAATAATGGAGGGCTCTGATAAAGTATTAGAATAATATTAAAATAATATGAATAATTCAATAATAAAAGATTAAATATTCAATATGATGAAGAATTTAAGAAGGCAGTTGAGATTAAGAAAAAGGTTTAACAGGCATAGGATAAATTAATAAGATGACTTTAAAACAAGGTTTAAATAATTGACCACATAAATGAAACTATTTTATAAGAGCAGGATTATATAAATTAAAAAGGTAAGATGAATCATTGTTGTAAAGAAAAGTTTAAAAATTGATAAGCTGAATCTCGTTAGAAGAATATGTAGAGAAAGCTAAAAGAATTAAAAATAAAAAAAAACAGAGCTAAGTCAAAAATTAGAGAAGAATTATTTTTATGTCTATAGAATAATAAGTGGTTAGGATTTGAGAGAAATAAAAAATAGATGTGAAATAGTTTATAAAAGATGAAACTAAATCTGTTAATCTTATAGATAACTAAAAATTAAGTAAAGCTTAGAGCTGGTTTCAATTATATCTTGAATTTAAAATAGAATACAAATGCATAACTACTTAAGGTAATGGAAGTAAGAAAAAATAATAAACAATAAAATAACAACTATTAATCCTTGTTTTATTTCATTGAAGTTTTAATAATATCTAAGCATTGCTGAACAACTTATTAATCAAGTTTTTGAAAGAAATTATTTTGATCAAAATTATACCAAAAACTTATTTAATTTAGATACCCTTTTGTTATTTGTTAAAGTTTATGAAAGTTCTTTTTTTATGATTTTATTTGATTTTTTATATCTATCAATATTGTCTGCTCCTTAAATTAAAATAGTAATTGCTTATATTGAACCTTTTTTTGAATAGATGCTATTATTATCATTCATTTTTATAATTTAAATAAGTTCTTTAGGAAGATAATTACGACAATATATTGAATTAAATTAAGTGATTTATTGTTTCAGTACTGATCGAACCTATTTAAAATAATCATAAAGGTAAATAAAATATATTCATTAAAAGGACATAATTTTTTAATCCTATTGATTGCTTATTGAGTTGAAATATAAAAGAATATTTAATTCATTATTTTAAAATTATCTTATTTACATTCACTCTGGATATAAATCCTAAGTTATTATATATTTTACATATATGCTCATTATTCCATAAATCCATGGATTATATTGTTCTTGAAAATCTAAAAATTATTCTAGTTACAATAATACATAGCTTAATCTGAATTTAATAATAAATTTTTTGATAACACAATAATCTATAACTCTCTTCCATATATTTTAAAAACAAGAAACTTTTATTGATTCTACACTTATAACAAAATACAAAAAAAAGGGAGTTAATTTTAACTTTATTTGTATAACTAATCATTGTTTTCACATTAGAAATATAAAAAATTTATTTTATGGTTAGATTTCAAGTTAATTATTGTTACAAAAATATATTTGGTATATTTTTTGATATATAAGCTACTATGTTTCCATTTTATATTCCATTTCTACATTTTAGAATAGCATCTTAAATTACAATTAAAGAAAACTCTATTGAAGCACTTAATCAAATTATTATCACATTTATAATTAAATACAAGGCAACAATCCTTATTAGGAACACTGTTTCGATCTTATTATTAAAGTTCTCTTTATATTACAATTGTAACAGTCATATTATTTAAATTCATTAACATTTCTCCATTCTTCATTAGAAGTTCCCACAAATAGAAAAACAATAATTATTTTTAAAATAACCTTATTAACAAAGCAACTAGCTTTTAATAATTATTCATATTATTGAATTTTATTTACTAATGCAGACCTTATATTTTATCTACATAACTCAACTTAAGTAAGAATTCCATGACCTCTTAAAGAAAAACATTAATGTCAATTTAGCTTAGAAACCTCTTAAAAATTAATCAAAAGTTTCTTATTATATTTAATTAAAAGAGGATAATATTAATGTTATCTTATTAATTTAGCATTTATCATTAAGAATATATGGATAGATGTAGAATATCAAATAAGTATCTTAATTAAAATTAAGCAGAAATCAATATTTAGACCTGGTTAATCCAATCTATTAACAAATTATTATTTTAAATTTGTATAAATTCTTTACCTTCTTTCCAATGTTATATTGAATAATTCTTAATAGAAATTTGGTTCAATTTTAATTTAAATAACTTACTTTTTTGTAATAGAGACCAAAATTAGTTTTTTAGAATCTATAATTCTAGCATCCATAATCAAATTATTTATTAAATGTTTTAATTCCATCTTTAAAAATTGAATAACAATTATATTATCTTATTTATACAATTAAATATTTTAACCAGATTGCACAAAAAGCTTAGCAAATAAATTTACTTTAATAATCTATTATCTTGGGTGAGATTGTCTTAATGGCTGCTTTTTATTTATCACCACAGATAGGATGATACACTTTATATATTTCTTAATAGCTGATTTTACAACTTTATAGTATCCATTATTTAAGGTAAAATAGAATTAATATTTCAAAAAATTTATACTACATGTTTACATGAAAGTAGGCATTTCCTTTTTCAATTTTAGTGAAATTTAATCAAAGTGAAGACTGATTAATTTGTCTTATTAAAAGGTTTACAAACTGGATGATAAAGATTCTACATTAATAGTAGATACACTGTTAACTCTCTCATCTATCATGCCATTTAAAATTTTCCATTTATTACCTTCAAATAAGTATATCTTATCACATTATTCAGAATAATACCCCCTATTGAATCAAGGGAATAAACATACTAATCATTCAAAAATATCTGCCATATTTTGCATACATCTGTATTATTAGAATTCCTTTATTACATTATTTAGAACTAATGATTATGACCATCTCCACCATTTTTTTGCAAACCCAAAGAATTATAGACCATTTCCTTCCTACACATTTATAGCTTAAAAGTTATATTAACAATTGGAGTGCCCATTTTTATATTTAATTAGGCTTCATCATCTCCATATAAATTAGGACAAGATAGAACTTTAGATGAATTAAAAGTCTAATAATTTTATAGACTTTAAAATTAACTATTGAAACATTTATCCTCAAATATAGTTTTTATATCTTCAATTTATACATGCCCTGCAACTTAATCATCAATAAAAAATTGGACGACATTTATCAATTCTATTATAAAACCAAAATTAAATCAAGTGGATATTTCATTATGAAAAAATTATCAATTAGTATTATATGAGCAATTTGTACCAATTTTTCGATCATTCATATATTATTGCAGATTGAAAAATCATTATTGATTCGATTAAAATAATTTTTACAACATATAAATATTTTGAAGGAATTATCATTGATAGGATATTAATCATCAAATGCAAACAAATTATCTATTTAAAAGTTGTCTATAATTTATTATTAAACATTCTAAATAATAAGTTGAACTTAAATATTAATTACATTTTATTTTTATTACTCATATTAATTTATACTACAATTACATTCTTATTTTGTTAATTATAATATCTTAAAAAGACTAAAGATAAAAGGGAAACTCAAACAAGAGAAACATAATCTAAATAGTTAAGAGTTTTATTAAATTAATGATTAGATAAAAATTTATTTAAGTCAGAAAACTTATAACATTTGAATCATAAGTATTCTTCAATTTTGTGCATTAGTTTTAATCGGTAAAGGATGAAAATAAGGCTAAGAATATAAATAGCAAAAGAAAAATTATCAATAGTACAATAAAAGTTTAAAGGTTCATTAATTAGCTCTAAATATTCCAATACAAATTTCATTTAATTGTTAATTACCTATTCTCTCTTATTCTCTGAAATTTAATATTTCTGTATTAATAACATAACATAATTTTTTAACTTATCTATTCCCATAAATATTGATTCAAAACTCTGTTAGAATTCCAATAAAAAATAGCAAAGTTAATAAAAATAATGAGAAGAATTTTCACTTTTACTCAATTTATATTTGACTTTGCAAAGTCTTTGGAATCATGGAAAATTATATTCATTTAATTTATAGGTTCAAATTTGAATTCTTTTAGGTTATTAATCTTTTTGAAATTAGGTGGTATATCGATTATTCATATGGTAATCTGTTTAGCTATTGAGGGGATAAAAACTTATTTAAGAGTAGCATTGTTTGGCTTAATTTCTTCAAAATATACACTTCCACCTCATTATTCATTATGAATATCACTAAATTTTTAGAAGTATTATTTTTTATTGATATTTTGAATGATACTGAGTCATTGAAAATGGTATTTGATAGCAAAATTATTTACAGCTAATTTTTTGGGGATCAAGATTACCTCACCAAATATTGGAAAGATAAAATCTTCCCTTTTTAAATACAATAACAACTTTCTATTCCTATTGTTTTGTTGTCATAATAACTTCAACTTTGAATTTTTGAATTAGGATGTTTGTTATGTAAAAAATAATAATACAAGGAATTATTGGGAAATTTAAAACTTAAAATTTGACATTTTAGAAAATCTAAAGATGTATTCTGTGCAGATTAAACATCATTATGCAATTTTTGGATAAAGTTTGCATCATTTTGGAATAGTTAAATTATTTCTGCAGATGGTAAATTAATGGCTTTAATCCTATATTTTAAGTGAATATTTTTAGGCTAATATTTTTTACTCTGAGTGGAAGAGGCTGCTTTACTGTTTGCTTTACTGTTTTGACTCAACTGGAAGACCTCTATAAGCACATCTATTTGAAATAATATTATAAATTCAATAAAAGCAAAAAACTAAAATAAAATTATATACACTTACTCTAACCAGATAAAAGATATCCAAAAATTGAAACATAGATTAGTCCTATATATTCCTTCACATTTTAAAAATAATAATAATAATTTGATTCTTCAACCAATTTTTTTAATTAGCATTATATTAGGAAGTAATCACACTTATTTGTAGAATTAGATATAAGAAATAGAAATTAATTTAAGAATAAATCAAAAATTGCTATACCATATAAACATAAGACAATCAGCAAAAAAAATAAATGGTGACTTATTGTAAAACAAACAAGAGTTGTAATATATGTACGAGACACATGTATTAATTATATTCGCCATGAATTAATCAAGATTTTAAATAATCCATTTAATTTTATCTGACCATCCTTTTCGGAGTGGAAAGTGTTATTTATACAACTTAATTGACATTTGATTAAATTTTGAAGGATCACTATTTAAAT